GTTCAGGTTCAAGTGTTGCTGTGCCGTACCCTCAGTGATGGAGGCTCAGCAGGGTGGAAGTAGATGATGCTTACTCTATGCAGGGCATTATTCTAATCACTTTTGCAGGGATTTTCTGATTTAACCCTCCCTCTCTGTGAGGTAGGTACTATTATCACCTTCATTGTACATCGGAGGAAACTGAAGCACAGAGAGCTTAAGTAACTCACACAGGATCTCATGACAAGTAAGTGCTGGTGCTAAGATTTGAACCCAGGTAGTCTGGCTCTGGAGGTCTGCTGGCGCAGACTACCCTCTAGAGTGACTAGAGGCCCCACCCCCTTGCTGCAGATGGACAGGGGCCTCACCCATAAGGACCCAGCTTGTTCAGACCCCTGCCAGTGAGGCTGCAAGCTCCCTCTGCCTCTCCCACTGTGGCCATGGGGTGGCTAGTCGGCCCTGACCTAGGAGAGGACTCGCTGGGGCCCGCTGTATTTTCCCAGGGAAGGCAACAGGGGCTGGGAGAATTCGGGGCTGGAAGAAGCCCAGAGAGGCCCTCTGAATCTGCGCTGGGCTCTTTCCCTCCCGCCCAGAGAGCTGAACTGTCCTCTGCCACCAGCGAACACTCCTTCTAGTGGTGGGTCTGCTTCTGTGCTGACCGAGGGGAGCTGGCAACATTCACAGCGCCGGTCGTTTTCATTTTACAACATTAAATACATTGAATCGCGTGGAGAGAAGGTTATTCCCTTTTCAGTTCTCTTTCAGTCCTGATTACATCAAAGAGAAAGTCCCAGTTTGCTGCCACTGTGCCTCCCAAACATCTGCCATTGGCTAAGCCCCTTCGGTTTTGGTTTGGCTTTGGGGTTTGTTTTGTTTTGTGCTCTGCAAAGGACAGCAGGTTTCGGGCGTGGAGTCTTCCCCAGCCTATCGGTTCTTACTAGAATTTACCCTTATTTGGTCTTCCTATTTATATGCTTTTATAATTTCCTTCTATTTATAGCAAGTGATACTGGCTTCCCATTTATGGCAGTGATATAAACTTTCCTTTCCAAATCTATTTACTTTAGATTTAGTAAATGAAAGAATAGATTTAAAGGCAGAAATAAGTGTTGTGAAAATAGGCAGACACTGCAGAAATCCCGAAGCGGACCAACACAGGACCGAAGCTCAGAAAGCGCAGCCACGGGGCTGCCCTTCAGGAGGGAGCAGGCAGCTGCGCTGAGACCACCTCGCTGGCCTGCGGTGGCCTACATCACGGGCGTGCGCACCCGTGGCCCCACCCACAGTGAGCCAGCAGCCAAGGCAGGACTTGCCCCCGTGTCCCCAGGGGGGGTGAGATCTTTGGAGGAAGGTTAAAGGACCTGGGTGTGCTCGATTTTGATCCGTAATTACTGAGTTGCTGACAGGCCTGGTGGTGGCCACTGTCTTTCCTTCTGGGGATGGCCAGCCAATGCAAACAGGACGAATGTGAAGATCAATTGCCAGAAACACCCCACTGAGTCCAGAAAACCCTGAGCCCCACTTGCCTTGAAGTTGAAAAGCCCCCATCCCTGCCCTGTCTGATGGCTTAGCTGGTTGGAGCATTGTCCCACACACCAAAAGGTTGCAGGTTCAATCCCCGGTCAAGGCATGTGCAGGTATGGAGGTGAGGTGGTGCCTGCAGGTGCTACAGGGACCAGACCCAGCCTGCGCGTCCTTTAGACCTCCAGGGTTCCAGAGAGGCCAGTCCCCATGAAACAAGGCTCTGGTCACTCCATGGGGCCCAGTAGGCAGCAGGGAGCTCAGATGAGGAGCCAATGGCCCCCAGCCTCCGGAAGCCAGGAAAGAGCATCAAGCCACACAGAGTCCACCAGGTGCCAGGCACTGTGTTAAGGGTTTGTTCACTGACTTGGCACAGCAGCCCTCTGAGGGAGGTACTGTCATCACCCCCGTTTGAGGGATGAGGGAACTTGCTCAGAGGCGCTGAGTAACTTGTCCAAAGTCACAGAGCATCTTGGGATTTGAACCTTGGGCTGACTGGCTCCCAAAGCCAAACCGTTAAGTAGTGGAGCTGCAAGGGAGGCCCTGGCACGCAGGGCACATACTCCAGGTCCCTTGCTCTGCTGCTCCATCCCACACAGGGTGCCACTGGGCGTGCCCGTGCAGCTAAGGGGATCCAAGGGTCTGTCGGAAGTTGTACTGCGATCCCCAGCTCACCCTCCCCTGGTGAGGCCACACTGCTCCTGGATGAATAGTTGGCCTGAAACCTGGGGCTCCAAGCTCAGTGTGTGGGGCTGTCCGTGCTGGGTGAAGGGGTCACTGCCAGGAGGCCCCGTGTGCGTCTGCATGCAGGGAGGTGGCCTCCCCACCTCCCCCAGGGAGGTCGGGGCCCAGCAGGGAACTTTTTCCCTGCTTGGGCAGCCCAGAGACAGGCTCCCCAGTATTGCCGGATGCCCCTGGCATTGGGTAGATGTTCCCTCGTGACCATGGGCTGGCCTGAAGGCTGTTTTTCACCACCCACAGCCTCGGGCAGAGGGTTGTAGATTTCCCAAGAGTTGACCATTGCTCCATCAGAGGCTTGTACCGTGGGGTTACTCAACAAGGCCCTGCAGCTCTGTTTACTTTGAAGGGGAAGGTGGAGTCTCTCCTCACCGGCTACAGTGTACCGCCAGTGCTGGCCCCAGAGTTTGGGACTCCTTGGTCAGTCCATGAGGACATGACAAGGACAACAACTGCCATGAGCCCTAGGAATGCCTATGGGGAAGGAGAGGCTCAGCCACTTTCTGGGTCTGCTGGGTCTTAGCTCCCTAGGTGCCTCCCTCTACCCAGGTCATCCCGCACCAGACCCAGGAAAGGTGTATCTTCAGCTGTTCCTAGACTCCTGAGCGCCATACTCACCACCACCGTTCTCCCGGGTGATGGCCCAGCCGCAGAGCTAGAGGACAGACTGTGGCAGCTACCTCCATCTGACCTTCCCAGACATGATGTGTTTGACTTGAACGGTCCTGCCCAGGGCAACCCAGCACCTTCGCTGGCTGGCAGGCAGGCCTTTGTGACCCACAGAAACCCCTGACCCTACCTGCAGCCAGGCCTCGCATCCGGCATCTCCCTCGCACACGGCACTAGGCAGTAGGGGAATATTCACTAGTGTGCTCATAACACAGTTAAGAGTGCTGAGTCTCAGAGTAGTTCAAAACTAGGAGAATTCTTTCTGCGGAAATCTGCTTCAAGCCCTAATTATCTCCCTGAGCTGGGCCTAGGAAGAGAGGGAGTACCGAGCTGTTTGAATAGCCAGAGCTTCTCATGGTGCAGGCTCCTGGCTGTGCAGACAATACGGAGCGAAGGGCTCTGGGCCTCTCTGCTCCTGGCTGCTCCGCAGGCTGGTCCCCAAGCCCTAGTTCTCTAGAACTCAATTTCCCAAATCAGCGCTACTGAGCAGAGAAGAGCCCAGCCAGGGGAGGGTAGGAGAGGGGTAAGAAAACGGAAGGGCCTCTCGGGGTCACTTGGAGAGGAAGGGACAGGGCAGGTGGAGCAATGAGCTCCTTCCTGCCTGCCACTGTCCCCTGCCCCTTCTAGAAGCCATGTCCTGACATGAGCCATGGCTTTGGTGCTGAGACTGACCGCTTCCCCAGCTCTCTCCCCAGGATGGAGTATCCAGGCTGGAGTTTAGGCAGCTCTGCCTATAGGCTCCCTCTTCCTTATCAGAAGTCCAGGCCAGCATCCAAGCCCTGAGATATCATGCTGCCTGCAGGCACCCACTTGTTTCTCTTCTTCGGACCCACCCACTGGGTCTCTGTGCCAAGCTCCCCACCTCCCTCCTGCCTTCCTCTGACTCCTTACATGACTCACACTTTCCCTGGGCCCTCCCCATAAAGTTTAGTTCCACAGGCTGCCTGCCAGCACCCCCCCCCCCATCCCTGCAGTTCCAGCCCCTTCAGTTCTGGGAAGGCAAGAACCAGAGGCCAGGCTGTGGCCAACAGGACCTCAGCCCTCCTCCAGAAGCTGCTGTGTCCTGGCCAGGATATCACCTGGTATTGTAACAGTTCAGACTTTGAAAGAGGAAAGCGACACCTCCTTGTGTAGGGCTTCTGTGTTCGAGCTGAGGAAACTGAGGCCAGAAAGATGCCGTAAGTTATCCACAGACCCAGAAGGCACTCATGGCTGAGCTGGGAAAATGTCCCACATTCTCCCCAGTGCCCCACATGGGTCCCTGAGCTCAGCTTCTCTGGGATGCTGGGAGTCAGCCGACCACCGAACTTGCAGCCATCGAACCCTAAGGATTAAGGACAAGGTGGGCGCCCACATCTGGGAATGTGCCAGTGGCTTGCATGGCTGAGCCAGGAGTGTCACCAGGGGGCTGAGCACAGGCCGAGAGCACCACACCCCCTGCAGCCCGTGAGGTTCTGGAACCCTGAGGTGGGAGGGGCAGGGAGATGCCACAAGTGTCAAAAGCCAGTGGTACCCTAACCGGTGTGGCTTAGTGGCTTGGGCAGCATCCCACTAACAGAAAGGTCACTGGTTCCATTCCGCTCAGGACACATGCCTGGGGGGCAGGCCAGGTCCCCAGATGGGGGGTGGGAAGAGGCAAGAGGCAGCTGACTGATGTTTCCCTTCCTCTCTTTCTCCCTCCCTTCTCCTTTCTAGAAATCAATAAATACAAACTTTTCCAAAGAAAAGTGGATAGTTCTAGTGCACTACCCACTAGACCACCCTGGGCCTGTCCTCACAATGCCCACCTGCCGTTCGCAGAAGCCGCTCTCACCCTGGGCTCTCTGGGCAGGAGAGCAAAGGGTTGGAGAGGCAGCTGCTTGGGCAGCTGTCACAGCACAGAGATGTGCCCACCTCCCAGCCAGGGCACTTGATGGAGACGCTGCTGCCCTCGGCCAAGCGGTGCCAGCAGCCTCCCTGCCATAGGGTGGGCGGCAGAGCAGGCTGAAGGGGACTCCCAGGGTGTCCCATCCAGGCTGTGCACACCCCACCCCACCCCACCCGCCGTGTTCTCCCCATGCTCTGCTTCAGTGCCCAGGATCCATTGAACTTACCTTGGGAGGCAGCCAAGAAGAAAGCGAGGAGCACAGGCCCCCAGCGCTGGCCGCTGGCCTCTGGGACTTGGGGGAAGCCCATGTCACCTTCGGGCCGTGCGTGCGGAGCACGCCTGGGGCAGAAGCGGAGCTGCGGAAGCGCAGGGGAAGCCTTGGTAGCAGGGAGCAAACACACGCGGCAGAGTAGGAAACCTCCCGGGCGAGTGAGTGAAGTGAGGAGTGCTGGAGAGCCAGCGAGTGAAAGCAGCCAGCGCCGGAGAGACGCCTGCTCAGCACCCCCACCCCGCAGCGCCCCCAGGAGGCCGTAGGGGGCACTGCCTCCAAGGGCCCGTGGGAGGAGCTTCCGCTGGTTTGCATCATAGGGCAACCCGCCAGTGTCCCAGCGAGGCAGCTCCACTCGCTCTCCACTTGAAGGCCTTTTCTACGCTCTCCGCTTCCTCTTTGCAGAGGATTAGTATATTTGCACAGCCTGAGAAGTACAACTCTGTGTAGCTTAGCATAATCATCATGGACTGTGTCTGCTCTTACCCTCCAGCCCTTGAGTCGCCTGGGGCCACCGGCTGGTACCCTACATCCTCCAGCCCAGCCCAAGGCCTGGTATGTGGTAGGCACTCCCGGTTGTAGAATGAATTAGTGAAAAAAATCTAACTTTGGAGCAGACTTGACTGTAGATTCCAGAGCTTGCAAAGCCCTTGTGCACACCTCACACAGATGTGGCACAGGTACAGGAGCACCCCCACACTGGGGCACACGTGGGTGTGTGCGCGACATCTGGCAGCGTGTGCCAGAGCAAGTCACCAGTGCCCCTCTCCTGTGGCTGCGGCCTCCCTTCCCACTCTGCCCCACCTCACTCCCATTGCCTGGGCAGCCTCAGCACACTTGCACACACCCCCACCACGGGTGCCCCGCTCTTGCACCCCACTCAACACACTAGCACCCTGGTGATGTCTCTCTCCTCCCCTCCAAATTCCCCTCCTGTCTCAGGGCTCAGCTCATGTCCTTCCCCTTCACAAAGCGCTCTGAACTTCCCGAGGGGGTCCCCTCTCCAGTCTTTATATCCACATCCCTTTACTGTCACACCACACCTGGGGTTGCCAACCAGCTGATGTCACCTGAACTCATCTGCTCTTCTGAGCTAAACCACAAGCTTTTGGGGATGAGGGCTTCTCCTAGGTGTTTGGGAGTCCCTGGCACAAAACTGGGCGTGAAGAAGGTGTTCTGTGCACTCTTGTCTGAATGGGGAAACTGATGGATGAGTAAGGGAGTTCCTAAATGGAGACGTGGAGGTGACGTTGGCTAGGCCGGGGACTGGAGGAGAGGGAGGGCACAGCCACTGTACCCATTTTACCCCCTCCTGCCTGAAGCTTCCAGGAGCTTTACTGTTCCACCAGGGGTCTTGAGCTCACAGGCAAGCCCCAGGCTGAAGGAGAGAGGGTGACCAGAGTCCATCTGGGCTGGGAATCATGGTAGTGAGACTCTAGGGCATCCAGGCATTTGGGGTGCCCTGATCCAACTCAGAGGCTCTCCGAGAGCTCTCAGCCTTCCCTCCCAGGGCAGGAAAGACTACAGCAGAGGAAGGGTGGGTGTCCTGCTATTACTAGATGACCTCATGCAGGCCCAATCCCCCTGGACCCAGGGAGCCCCAGAAACTGCCAAGACATAACCCAGGTCCTTGATCATGACCCTGATCTACGATCCCACTTTGGGAGGCAGCCCAAGGCCCCTCCTGCTGGCAGAGTGTGAGCTCTTTCACTCAGAGAAGGTAGAAAGCCCATCGAAATCAGGTGGGGACTGGGCCCTCTCCACAGTCACGGCCATGCTCTGGCAGAGGTGGGGTCCCTCAAGGGTGAGAGCCTGGAACGCCCGCCTCCCACCAACCCTCCATATTTTCCTGGGCTGGCCTTGCCCAAATCCCACTTGAAAGCAAAATCCTTCTGCCCTGGGGCCTGGAGGGTAGGTGAGGATAGCCAAGGATTAGGGGGAGGGTTGAAGCTGCCTCCCAAGCCCTTCCCCAGAAGGCTAGAACACCTGATCCTGCCCGTGACACTGTCCTTCATCTCCCCCCCACCACACTTCCCAGCAGCTGAGCCTCCTGGGCTTGCAGTGGGGCGGGGAAGGGGGCGGGGGACATGACACAGAGGCATTGCCCAAGGTGTGGGCATGGTCCAGAAACCACAAGCACTGTTTCCTCAGTGCCAGGGCAGGAAGGGCTCAGCTGAGAGGGCCTGGTCTCAGACAGAAGCCCTCTGACCCCATGGGGCAGCTCCATGAGAACCCCCCCACTGCCCGCCCCTGCAGCCTGCAAGGTTGGTAGGCCCACTTCTCGGAGTCTGGGAAAATGGGCAGATATCAGCACCGCCACCCCATCAGTGAGGCTGGAATCCGGCCCCTGTCCTGCAAGGTGGTGCTCTTGTGCTGACAGAAGGGTTTGTGTTCACCAGGGTCCCGGCAGTAAAGAGATGGCACACTCAGGGCTCAGCGGAAGGTAGTTTAAAGGAGGGCCTGTTTACAGAGAGCTGGCGAAGTGCCCTCAGACTAGCAACTGCAGGAAGCCACTACCACTCAGTATCCCACAAGGACAAGACGAGGTGAGGTGACTGGAGCCCGGGTAGAGTCAGAGCAGTGACAGGGGCCCCCCGGCAGGAGAAATGCAGCCATGGCAGTACTGCAGTGACGAAAGACGGAGTGGGCACCAAACACCTTGCCTCTGTCCCCTCCCCCACCTCATCTTCTGCCAGGACCTCCCACTGGCCATATCCATCTGGAAGGCAGATGGCAAGGGAGCCCAGGTGAGGCCGTCCCCGGGGGACATCCTCCAGGGTGAAGAAGCCGAGAATGGGGGCAAGATGAGGCTTTGGTCTTCCGTATATCCACTCTGCTTGTGAAGTGCCGCATGAGCCGTGTCCACACAGTGCTGATCACTGAGTTCCAATAGTCTAAATACCACACGTGGTCCAAAGACAAGCATCAGCCACAAACAGCCAATCGCCAGAGAGCATGTTGCAGAAACTGGTTTTGCACTAAAACGTATTCTGTGAGCTTCGTTTTTCACAGCTCAACAAATTCTGCCCGTGTAATTGCTCCAAATCCAAGTCCTCCTTTAAAATGCTGAAAAATAGGTATTTCTTGCATTTACATGAACAGTAGGTGAAGCTTAAATACTGCATTGGGGTGACTACATCACATTGTTGCTTTTTGTTATATGAATGGAGGCCCAGGGTCAGTAAGGCCCTGACCCAGACAAAGCTGTGGGCTCGGGCTGGTTACTGGGGCTCATCTTATATGCTAATGTCAATCACTAGGTCTCCGGGCTGACAAGGATCCTGAGGTCACATCTGGTCTCAGCAGTACCACAATTGATAAGCAATGTCTGCCATGGGCATGGGCAAGACATGGTGCCGTCTTGGAACTACACAGTTACCTAGGTGGCTTTTGGTGATTGCCACCTCTGTCAGCCTGTGACTTCCCCCTGCACATCCCCCTCCCTTACCCTCGCCATGCTGGACCACACTGAGCGAGTTCAGCCTGGAAGAATAGCCAGCCAGCTTCCCCTCAACCTCTCCAGCCAGCTGACCAAGGACCCTGACCGAGTTCTTCTCCACAGGCCACCACTCACGTCTATGTGACCATCGTGGACGAGAACGACAATGCACCTGTGTTCCAGCAGCCTCACTACGAGATCTCACTGGACGAGGGCCCAGACACTGTCAACGCCACCCTCGTCACCATCCAGGCGCTCGACCCGGATGAGGGGCCCAACGGCACAGTCACCTATGCCATCATTGCCGGCAACATCATCAACACTTTCCACATAGGCAGACACACGGTCAGCAGCTGATGGCGAGGTTTATGAGAAGGGGCGCTCAGTGACATCGTGGGGGCTGGAGGCATAACAAAGACGGAGTCTGGGAGGAAACTGTGGGGGCAGCCGGTGCAGGAGGATGAAAACAAGGGTCTCCCAACATGGACAGGACGCCAGGGCCTGCCTGCTGGGGTGCCCAAGAAGGAACAGGTCCCCACCGTGTCCCAGACTCACTGCACATCGATCCACCCTTGTTCCCTCTGTGTGTCCCCCAGGGCGTCATCAGTGCTGCCAAGGAGCTGGACTACGAGATCAGCCATGGCCGCTACACCCTGATCGTCACAGCCACGGACCAGTGCCCCATCTTGTCCCACCGCCTCACCTCCACCACCACGGTGGGTGGGTGGGTGGGGTACAGATCCAACCTGGGGATGCGGGGAGGATGGAGCCCAGAGAAGCTTGAATGGGGAAGAGCGGTAGGAAAGATTGTCCAGGACAAACACCTAAATCCCAGAGCCCTGTCCTGGTCTCAACAACTCACCCAAACTTGCTGTGTGACTTTGAGGAAGGTAATGAACCTTTCTGTGTGATTACATCTGTCAGATAGATGGCAACACCTGCCCCTCTCCCCTTCATGGGAAGAGCACAAACTCTGGGCAAACCAGCAGGGGTTCATATCCCTGACCTTTCACTTCTTGGCTGAGTGACCCTGGGCGAGTCACTTAACCAACCTGTGCTTCCCTTTCCTTCTGTGAAAGGGGCTTAATAAAAGCTGTCGCGGGGGTGTGGGAGGAGCAAGTGAGACCATGCACAATAGCAATACACAGACGTTCGGAGCACTGTTGTAAAACATGAGTGTGCCCATGAAAAGGCTTCGACAATAACAATAACTCATCCACGTGCAGCTTAAAGCCCACCCCCACGTCCATTCCTTCATATGGTTCTTGCATCGGTCCCATGACGCAGGATTCTCGGGTCCAGTTTCCAGATGAGGAGCCTGGGCCCAGCACAGGGCTGGCCGGAGTGCAGCCTCAGCTAAGCTTGTCCCCCATCGCAGGTGATCGTGAACGTGAATGACATCAACGACAACGTGCCCACCTTCCCCCGAGACTATGAGGGGCCATTCGAGGTCACTGAGGGCCAGCCAGGGCCTAGAGTGTGGACCTTCCTGGCCCATGACCGGGACTCGGGCCCCAACGGGCAGGTGGAGTACAGCATCGTGGATGGAGACCCTCTGGGTGAGTGGGGCCTCAGCTGGGCGGGGGGCAGCCTGACCTGAGGGCCTCGTGGCCCCCACTCCCACTCGGGGCCAGAAGGAGAAACGAGGCCTCGAGGCAGTGAGCCCGTGGGATCTTACCCTCCCTGGGCTTCACTCTCCCCATCCATCAAATGACCTAAATAGTCTTCTCACAGAAATACGGTGAGAATATTCTGAAACCCGAGAACGGAGGCCGGTAGCCTTGGAGGGTCACAGAC